AACTTTTCCCGAAAAACTGAGAGAAATTATCTATGAAGGTGGTTATTTTGACGAACATGTTTATAATTGCGATGAAACTGGTTTATTTTGGAAGCTGTTACCGTCGAAGTCGCAAGCAACAGCAAGCGGCCCACATAATATCAGACCCAAACAAAATAATCAACGCAATGTTTACAGCAAACATAATCATGATTTTATTCGAATACTGCCTGACACATGTGATGATACATCAATTAACTAAACCGAGGGTTTATATGTGCTTTTTATATGTTTTTAAATGCACGACCTCCCTCTTTCACGACGTCCCTCGGTAAGTCGCGGCCCTCGATAAGTCGCGGTTTTTGCTTGGATCCCAACACCCGCGACTTAGCGAGGGGCCACTGTATTCCATTTTCATTTCATCACCCAAAAGTTATATTGTAAAATTTATGATATTTATAAAAAATAAAGAGAGTATTGGTATTGAAAGGATAATTTTCACCTTAATGTATATATGTATATACAATGTGTACTAAATGTTTTAACATTTGGATGCCAAACTATTGTCTCCTTCTACAAAAGGAATCTGCAGTTATTTGGCTTTAAATATGTGTTGATTGATGATGTTATAATAGAATACTCTTAATTTCACTATCTGGAAAGTCAAGGACTAGACTGTCCTGAAATGTTATGCACTGTTAAAACTTGTGTTACTCTATCATATACTGGTATGTCCTGTATGAATAGTAAAACTGACTATATATTCAAAATTTAGTCTGTAAATTATTCTTAAATAAATACACAATCCTTCATAAGGGGCTGTGGATAATTAAAATAACACTCACCCCCACCTCTAAATGAAATTTGCACACAATAGAACATACCGAACAAACATTAAAAAACATCCATACATGTATGTATATAAAATCGCATTCAGACCTCCCCAACCCTCTAAATGAAGACATTACATTAGCTGTGCGCCTGTTTATTCATTCATGTCTCCTGAGTGGAACTGTCGCCATCCGCCGTCATCTTTGCGTGTAATGTTTTATTGTGTTCATTACCTAATAGAATGTAGTGACAATGGATTAATGCATTAAAACCTTAATGGCTGCTAAATGAATTTACTTTAAGCATTTTGAGGGTAATACATACTTTTTAGCATGTCAATTAGAAATAAAAAAAAAAATGATTGAACACGGTTGATACATGCTATTCTCTTGCTCATATAAATTGTTGTGTACTCTAGGTGCTTGGAATTTATTTTTGCATTTTTCAAGGTCGCATGAAATCAACAAAATATTGAAAATCCTTTTCTGTATATTTTTACTATTAGATATCAGTCAAAATGCAAATAGTATATAAAATGAATTCCAGGCAAACAGATTGAAACCCTTTTTGTTTTTGTTTTTATGGATTTAATGTTTTATTCCCTTTCTGTCGCAGCGAGATACGTTCCTAAGGCTGGGACTGGTCTTGGGATCACTGATGTTGCCTTGACTGACGAAGGCACTTACACATGTCGTGCACGAATGCCAACGTTGGGATATACCAGGAAAGTGGAAATATTTGTGGACGTCTTGGGTAAGGGTTAGAGAATAAGAATATTGAGTGTTTCTGCAATGTCATGATTTTACTTTACCTCATTAGTTTTTTTTCCAGATAAAAATACAAAAAACAGTGTCCAATTGATTTATTTTTATTTTCCAGTTCCTCCAGTCATCACACAGGGACCTCAAAACACGACTGGGGATGAGGGAAAATCTGCACGATTTACATGTCACGCTGATGGTGACCCCCTTCCTGTTGTCGTCTGGTATTTCCATGATACGCCTGTAGAAAATCCCATCAAGTATCAAATAGGTGAGCCAAACTGACATAGATGGCGCTATACTTTTCAGAAAATATAGTGATTCATGTGTAGATTACTCTAACCTTGCTGCAAAAATAAGTTTTTTTACTAACTTACTATTAATTTTTTATTATATATCTGTCACCGCAACGCCATAAGTTACAATCTTGCCATAATTTTGTGATATTGCACTGGATATTTTCATACATGTGAATTCTAAATATGGAACGATTACCAGACCCCACTAAAAGAAGTTCGCAAAATCTGTTCTAAAGTTTTTGGATTTCAGCATTCCCATGATCCTTGAGAGGAAAAGATGTATAATAAATAAGGTTGAGGAAACTGCAAAGTGTGCACCTCCATTGCGCGTCTGTTGATACTCCTACTGTACTGTCTTTGTGAATACTTTGTGGTATCTTTGTAATAACCTCTTAGTATCTTTATTTGAAAAATTTCTGTAAATTATTTGGGGGTCTAATTTAAAAAATGTGTATATGACAGGAGTCAGATGCTAAAACCTGTCACTTTCTGATTTCTGTTTTTTTTTAAAAAAGGGCAGCATTATTAATCGACGTTGTCTTTGTTGCTTGCCTAGGTGAAAATGGACGGACGTTGTCGATACAGAACTTGGAAGAATCTGATGGTGGTAAATATGATTGCCGGGCTGAAAACAGAGTGGCGTTTGTTACAGATAGTGCTCATCTTACTGTCAATGTTATTCCTGTGCTTGGACCATCGCAAAACGAGACGAGAGATGAAGATGATTTTGTTTCGTTTACGTGTATGGTAATACGTGGTACTCCATTCCCAACGCTTCGATGGAAAAGAGGGATAAAATACTACGAACTAGGGGAACAGGTAAGGGCAGCGTTTATATTTTCATTCAGCGTTTATACAAGCGTTTATACCAATTGTTTTAACTTTGCTGTGTCAACTCCTATAATTATCTTGGAATAATCAAATGGTAAATTTACAGAAGCTAGAGGTAACCTAGCAGATAAAGCAATCAAAGCCATGTATGCACTAAAGCAGTCTTTACCAAAAGAAACAGACTGTAAAACATGCATTCATCAGTTTAATATATGTATCAAACCAATTTTACTGTATGGATCTGAAATTTAGGGAATGGAAAATATGAGTAACTTTAACTGGAACAAAACTAAAACAGAAAAAGTGCATCTAAAATTCATTAAACAACTACTTGGGCTTAATACTAGTAAATACATGGCGGGTGAAATTGGAGCATTTCCATTGATAACTGAAGTGAAAATCAATATGATTAAGTTTTGGTCCCGTGTCACAGACAAGTCACAACATAATTATACAAAGATGGCGTTAAGCGATCAGACTTTGTCAAAAGCACAATGGGAAACATGAGTCAAAAATATCTTGAAAGATGCAGACCTCTCTAAAACATCACAGCTATCACATCAAAATATTAAGGAAATTAGCAGCACTATTAAACAACAATACATAGCATACTTGAGAGAGAATATGACAAATGAAGAAACAAAACTGAGAACATACATTAAATTTAAAATGAATTACAATCTGGAAAATTACATTAATGTTTTGGATAATTATCAAAGAATATCAATGGCTAGATTCAGGACAAGTAGTCACAATCTAGCCATTGAAAAAGACATACCAATCCAAAAACCCCATTAGAAAATAGAATTTGTAAACAATGCCCATTACAGGAAGTTGAAGACAATTACACTTTCTTTTAGTTTGCTCACGATATCAAACAGATAGAAATGATTTTATTTCCAGTATTTTATTCCCCAAAGAAATCATTACCATTACTATTATTTTTTCTATTTTTTACGTTATCATACTTATTTATTATTTTAATCACTTATATATTTATTGCTGTAAACCAATAGAACATTTGTACTTCTAAGGATGCAATAAAGTTATTATTATTATTGCTATAATTACTAATTATTTGAGGGCACTCTGAACTGATTTGAACTCTGGCAGATTTTGGCTCTCGTTAGACTGTGTAAACACATTGAAGATAAGCTCCTGTTAATAGGTCGGAGGAGCAGTAGTTCAGCTTCAATGTCCTGTTAACATAGTAATGATGACTGTTGTATTTAAATTAGCTCATTAAAACAATATTAAACTTGTTGGGTATCAAGGCAATTGTCTTTGATCCTCTTTCAAGGCCAAATTTGATTAATTTGTCTTGAGATATACTCATAGAAACATTCTGAAATATCTTTATCTTTCAAAGTATTTAAAGGCAGATTCATTGAGCATCAAGACAATTAATTATATTTGATGCTTCTGTTAAGTTTAAGCCCTGAATCAAATAATAATAATATAAGGTTATTATGAGGATGCCGAAAAGTATTGCACAAAGACTGTACAGTGGGAGTATCGACCGACAGCGTACTTTCCGAGTACATACTTTGAGGTATCCTCGTATTAACCTTTAGTTATTATTATGCACCCTTTCCTTTCGAGGGTACATCATGGGATGCCGAAATCCAAAACTTTTAGAACAGATTTAGTGAACTTCTTTGTGTCAGGTCTGTGTTTGTTTTTTATTAGAAAACGCTTACGTGCGTAATCATTCCATATTTGGAATTTGCATTTTCTTATATGGTAGGATGAAAATACCCAGTGCAATGCAAAGTTACGGACGGCACACTGTAACGTTACATGACAGATGTATAATGATAATTAATAATGTTGTTTTTTGCAGCCGGATGACAACCGAATCAACGTGAATTTTAATAGTCAGGATCAAGAGTTGGTCTTGACCATAAATAATTTGAATAGATTTGATATTGGTGTGTATACCTGTGAGGCAGAGAATGTTGCTGGAACAGATGAAAGAGATTCACTTCTAGATGTATATTGTAAGTAACGATAAGAGCAGAACTATACTCCGTAGAATTTACATATAGTTTATAGATAGTATTTAGGCCAGACTTTTATTATCCCTTGTTTCACGAACCCGCCGAATGAACAGGAGCCAAAAATGAAATAAAAATAAAATTTTATTTCAGCGTAATTTCTCACTTGTAAGTGCAAAAAATTGCTAAAAAAAATATTTTTATCTTCATTTTTTTTCTGCCAGCCGCATAACAACCCCAAGTTGCATTTTCGTGGGAGTATCATGATCAAAATACACACACTTGCACAGATGAGAAACAAGGTTATACATGGAATAAAATTTTATTTCATTTCTTCTCTCCGATCAATGATCTCACTTACAATTCTTTGAGAATCACACAAATCTAATGGGGAAAAAAGAATTAATTTTATTTTTTTTATGCCCTCCTCAAAAAAATTGCCTTATAACAACTCGAGAAACAAGAAATAAAAAGTCTGGCCTTAATAAGCTTGAAATGCAGCTGTATTTAAAAATTTTTGTGTACAATTACAGATGAACCAGTGATTGAAGAAACAAAAACTCTTAGTGTCCAGAAATCGTGGCGTCGCAATCCTACCAACATAACATGTGTTATTATGTCGAATCCAACGGCAGAGTACAAATGGGATAGGAATCCTTGGCCGTTGAACAGAACTGACCATAGAGTTTATAGCTCTCAGTTTGAAACATCACTTTTTGTAAGTATTCACAATCAGTTTCACATCCTGGTACTTGGCATACTTATGTTTGTTTGTTAGTAATTATGACCTTGGTAATGTGGGAATAATTATCAAAATACACCAAAAGCAGAGTTTTTGGGTGTAATGACAATTTCATTCAATGTATTCTTAAAGTTCAAATCTTAGAGTGGTCAAAATTTGTATTGTACAACTTAGAGTTGGTCTTTAATTAATGAAAATTGTACCATATCTTTTGTTAGATTATACCTGATCGATTCAACGACTTTGGAGACTATAGATGCTCTGCAGAGAACAGACTGGGATATGTCCGCTATGTGGTGACACTGGAAGAAACTTGTAAGTAACATCTACCATTAAAGTCCTAATATAAACCGTATATGTAATAGTAACCGCACCCCCAATTCCGGCTTCGGGGTTAAAGAGTTCTCAACATAAATTGAAAACATGAAAAGTACCTATTACTAACCGCACCCCAATTCAACAAGACCGTGACTGACTTCATTGTTTCAACCAGCTGTTCCAAAACGGCATTGTTCCTAATCCTATTCATTTGTTTCGACAACATGCCTAAAAATATTCACACCTATTTATTGTTCAGCGGTGATAAGATGTCAGACAGGCAATGAAACTGCTTTTGTTCTGGCGGCAACCTCTGTCAATACTCTTTCTGAATACGTCTGTGTTTCGTAAGTTTTAGACAATGAGCTTTTATCACCGTAAAAGTGTTAAACTGAGCATTGAAGAATAATTTATCTTTCGAAAACAAATAATTTCTTGATTTAAAAATAAAATCATGCCGTTTTCCCATGGAAATCAAAGGCAAAAGATCGCACTACATTATCGGTAAATCTCTTCCGTGTTGCGTTCACCATGAGGTCGCT